ACAGTCGGTCCCTCTCATTCACCAGCTGTGAATTCATTAAAGTCGTTTTATTCATGTGTCTCTTGTCTAGTCCCTCTTCATAGGCCAGGTCATGTTGATGCAGAGCACTGCGCCCCCTGCTGGAGCCCCTGGTCACTGCGTGCAGCCTCACGGGGATTCTGTGCAGCGGGGCTAAGTGATGCATTTGACGGAATGTGCTGTAAAGGGCGTTTGCATTTGATTTGCAGCATCTAAGCATCAGGAAGTCTTTTAGGTTCAAAGACCGATTTAAGCGACTGCTCGAGTGTTGAGTAACAGGTGAGTGGCAACAACCAACGATCTTCCATCTAATAACGTTGGATGCAGCAGTCGAGAATGAACAACGGCCGAAAGCGCTGTTAATGTGAACGTCCCAATGTTTTTGGGCCTTAACTCTTGTGCAAGCTAGCAAAATACTTCAAACCTCGATCTATACATAATCACTCATAAATGTCTCCTAAATATACTCATTTTCAAATTTAGAAAAGCTCAATCATTTACTGTCGGTTAGAAAGCTAACAGTCGGTCCCTCTCATTCACCAGCTGTGAATTCATTAAAGTCGTTTTATTCATGTGTCTCTCGTCTAGTCCCTCTTCATAGGCCAGGTCATGTTGATGCAGAGCACTGCGCCCCCTGCTGGAGCCCCTGGTCACTGCGTGCAGCCTCACGGGGATTCTGTGCAGCGGGGTGTTTAACTGGAGATGTGAGGGGAAGAGAGGATGAGATGAAGGGAATGGAGAGAGGAGAGGATGTGCGCTCGCTGCAGACACGTCTACTGGTTCTTCTTGTCTTCAGGTGGGGAGTAGGGTGGAGGCTTGTCCTTCAGAATAAAAACAAAACAATATATTTTCAAGTTATTACCCAAGTTACTTTTTTGGGGCTTTGATGAAACTCTACAGGTTGGACCTGGTGAACTTTACTATACATGAACTTGGTAAATAGGCTGGACTTGGTTATATAACAGGATATACTTGTTTGGATAACAGTTTGGATCTTGGTATATATTAAGTTTGTTAATATTTGAAACGGGATGTACAGTAGGTGGACTTTAACAAGTATATGGATTTAAGTTAACTACACATGAACTTTCATGTCATAAATTAACTTGGTTAACAGGTCGAACCGGATTATTATTTGGAATTTGTTACCAGGATAGACTTGGTAAACAGGTTGAACATGGTTATATTTGGACTTAGTTAACAGGATACTTTTGGTTAACTAGTTTGACCAGTTTATATATAGATTTGAACAAGTTATATTTGGACTTTAATGAGTTTAAATTAGCTACACATGATCTTTGTCGTATATGAATTGGGTTAACAGGTTAAACCTGGTTTTATTTGGAATTTAAGATAAACGGAAAAAGGAAAGAATACCCGTGTACGTGTGGACATGGCCTTAGTTTGCTCAGCGCTGTTTAGCAGTGAATCTGACCTGGAGGTGGAGGTCCAGGGTAGGCGTATCCAGGCGGAGGTGGTGCGGCCGAATACATGCCGTTAGCAGGAGGAGGAGGAGGGTAAGCGAACGCCCCGTTCGCCATGTAAGGACAGCCGTAATTTACAGTCACCGGTTGCCCTCTGGATGCTGAAACGAAGGTAATGCTTCCACATCAAATCTGATGCTAAAACATTTCTTTAAAAAATAATTATATTACTTTTCAAACTGATTGAGCACAAACGTACCCTGTGCTGCCACCTGTAGCATGCACTGTCCAAACTCAATCGCTCCTCCGGCAACAAAAATCAACTTGAAGGTTGCAGAACCTTCCCAGCCACCTGGAGCAGTGATGGAAACATGCTTTAGTATATCTTAGTTCCACGAGTACATCGTTACTTTCTTCCAAGGACCAGATTATTCAAATGAAAACTTGAGGAGGGTCATGATTCGGATCGGAGTACTTTTATTTATTTAAAGTCTAACATGTTAACATGCAATACAAAATTGAACTTTTTTATTTATTTTTTTTACATGTGTAATATAAAGGCCTGTCAATTGTTTCGAATTAATTACATGATATGAAAATGAAATCAGTTGCAATTATTTTCATGATTCACTGAAAAAAGTTCCAAAATAAACAATTCAAAGATATGAATTCATTGATTAATAGACATTACAAAAAGTGTCTTTATACATGAATATACTGTACATCGTTTTTATCTATTAAAGAATTACTAAAAAGTGAGCAGACACAATAATAATTTTCGATATTTTTGACTGTTTCATGTGGTTCGTGGCCAGTGTTATTTTAGCATTATTTGTACCCTACTAATATTTATATTTGAATTCACAATAACGATTTTTACAAGTGGTTTTGGCCTGTGATTTGGTTTATTCCCTCATTGCACAGCTGCAGTGTTCATTTTAGGCTCGGTGTTTTACCTCCAGGCTCAGCGCTGATCGTGCCCTTGATGTAGTTGGCACCAAGTACTGGCTGTTTGACCTCACAGCCCTTCATAAGATAAAACGGCATCATGAAGGACTGCAGGGGGTCCTTCCCTTTAGTCAAGAAGATCGCCTAAACATCAAACCACATAAGCAGCAAATGATGAACACATTCATTTACTGAGGTTATTTACAAACCACTGAACAAGACCAGTCGGGAGACAGACAAGGCCAAGACCATATTAAAATACATATTTAAAGATTTTCCTTGCTCTGTCCTTATCATCATTCAATAATAAGATGATTATCGAACCCTCCTCTTGTATTACGTACCCTGTAAGGTGTCAGGTAGATGCTTCCCTTCTTGCTTTTTCTGAAGGCTTCTGGCAAGCGTTCTGCGTCACTGAACAGCAGCTCCACATTCTCATATGACATCAAGACACTGTAGGAAAACAGATTTGGTTTATTACAGTCAGCACATTCTGTGCCAACACATAAGGAACAAAGCTAGCTTTGCCATCGCTGACAAGGAACAAAGACTTGCTTATAGTTTTAAAGAATACCAGTATCACTGTAGTTCTAAGAGCATTTTTCAATAATAATATAACCCTAACAACAATAAAATATTAATAATATTTTAATGATTAATTATTATTTATATTAATATAAAAATGTAAGAAATAAAATAAATTATTTTACAATTTATTTGTAATTTATTACTATTATTATTGTAATAAGTTGTAGTTATATTTGTCTATAATGTTACAATAAATCATTATATATAATGTAAGAAATAAAAAACTAAATATATGAATGATAATAAGCAAAAATATTATATTAAACATTATATAAATAATAATTATTAGATGTAGTACTAAGAACATTTGTCTATGTTGTAATAATTCACTATAAATAATAATAGTAGGAGTAATAAAATACATAAAAATATTACTGATTATAAATAAAAAGTCAATAATAATAATAATAATATAAAAACACAAGAAAAATATATTAAATAATAACATTAACATTTTATTTATTGTTGTTGTGGATTACTATTGTGTGAATAATATAGCCTAGTAAATGTATTTTAGAGTTAATGAAGATAATGTAATGTAGAATAGATGCAGAAAAGTTAAATGAATGCAAAACCTAAATAAAAAGATGGCATCAAATCTATTTGGGTACTTCTATGATTATTGGTTATTATTACAGATGATGATGTCTTTGCTGGAGTCATCCGTCTCAGTGTTAAGATCACAGCTATTGTGAAACTTTAAGAGCATGGCATTTATTTGAGCAGAAGCGCGAGAAGATTATTGCTGATCTACTGCGACTACAAACGCGAGTCCTACTACGTCGACGGCTGAGCTCATTAATATTAATGACGCAACGTGGCATTCCTCCAGCTGATTGGCTGAAACACAAATTGGAGGTTCACGCATCCGAATATTAATAAGGCTACGTGACTGAACGCTGCGGGAAGGTTTCCAAGCAACTTGAGCGTGACTAGATTAATATTCATAGCGCGCACTTCACCATACTAGGATTCTGAAAGCTGCGCAAGACCCATGTTTTTAAAAAGATAACAACTTATGGGACTGAATATGGGCTACATTTACAGTGTGTAAACATGATGCTGCTTAAAATAAACACAGAAAAGGCAGATGCAGTGCACATGAATAAAATGGGTGTGATCTCGCGGTTCACGCGATGTTATTCAACACATGACACTGAATTATTCTTATTATGTGACTAGAAAAACACACAATAATTAATTCGATATGGACGTTTTGGACAAATCCGTGTAACGTTAGACAGAAATAGGACAGTACCAGCTTTATATAATAATAACGGCAATATTAATCAAAGCGTCTGATTACCTTTCGCTGTTGTTGATGATAACACCTCCACATTCAGAGTGATTGTTGTTGAGGGCCATGCTTGATTTCTGTCTGTTATTGTGTGAAATTGACGCTCTACATGCTACGCGAAGATCCACCCGCACTTCCGGTATAGGCCACGCCCCCCGGTGACGTCACCGAGCGGGTTGGAGCTATTTCCCGAACCTTCTCAAATAACAAATAAATACTTATCAAAGCAGAAGCATCTTAATCTTATAATGTTTTATTTTTCTAAGACGGATAGATAAATTATTTCAATAAATTACTCTTGAAATGGCCAAAACAAATTTTAAAGAGAGAAGGTAAATATTGTATCATTGAATTTTGATGTTGCATCCGCTATTTTGATGCAATTACATCAAAAGTAACTAATTAAATTACAGAAAAAATTATAGTAATCCCTTACTTTACTTTTTAAGAGAAAGCAATTAAAAGGAAAGTAATTAAATTACAGTAAGTAATGCATTACACCTAACACTTGTGTCCAGCCAGCATCGACTTTTATTTTGTAATATGACATAATGCTTAAGTAAACCTTAAAACTACGTTAAAGAATATTTATATTTCTATGTAGGTCAAAATGTTATTGTTTTGGAGCTTTAATCCGTGCCATTGCTAAATAATAAAATATTTTCACGCAGCACCCCTGTGTAAAATATGGTATCTGCTGCGTCCCAAAGATCGTCATCTGAAACGGACGCCATTTTGGATCTTGTACCGGGAGTATTGTGCGTACACCCTTACGTCTACTGTGAGCCAACATGGACGATAAGACTCCTCAGTTTCCTACCATGTGGATAACGCAGAACGTCGCTCTGCGTGAACTCGTGTCTGTTTCCTGCGTGCTGTAGTGGAGCGGCATGGCTTCATCTGCGAAGAGGCGAGCTATTGAAACGAGACTAAACCCTCAAGACAGCGATGAAAGCTCGGACGAGGGTCTGGAAGACTCTGGCGACGAGGACAATGAAGATGCAGAAGAAGAAATAAACGAGGTAAGTCGCGATGTTACTGGAGCCAATAATGTGCAGGCCAAACTGGCTCTGCGTTGAAAAACGTTGTTTTGTGATCAGTGCATGTGTTTTGGGTTGTGATTAGGAGGTTATCGTGGACTTTGAGGCACACACGATATCTGACAACGACTTTCATGGCATTAAAACCCTTCTCCAACAGGTAAGTCACAGAGACATTCGTGTTTGCATTGCACTGAACATACAGATATAACTTACACTGCTCAATTTGCACACAAACAGAGATTAAAAAGCGCAAATAATACGTATGCATTATATTTCCACTCATGTTTCCAGCTGTTCCTGAAGTCTCACGTGAACACATCTGATCTGACGGACATCATCATCCAGCAGAAGCACATGGGCAGTGTCATCAGGGTGAGACTCATTTGGATAATCCTATATTTATTTAGTTTGAAGCCACAATCATCACAATTAAAAGAACCAAAGACTTAAACTACTTCAGTCTGTGTGCATTGAATTTATTTAATCCACGAGTTCACAATTTGAGTTGAATTACTGAAATAAATGAACTTTTCCACGACATTCTAATTTATTGAGATGCACCTGTACTTGAGTTAATGGTCAAATATCAGATCCTGGTTGCAAAAACACTTTGAAGCTTAAGAGAAAACCATTAATTTGAATTATAAGCAAATCAACACTAAACTTTTAGAGACTTGTTTAAATAATAGTGTAATTTTTTTTTTATTTACAAAAATGTTCCTTAATTTTTTTCATTTTGTAACTGTATATTTCAGTATATTATCACTTGTAATTAAACCTTAAAACAAGTTTATTTTTTTCAAACCACGTGTCACAAGGAAGTGCTCAAATTAATTGTAAAGACAGAAATAAAAGAAAGATTAAAATGAATTAAAAAAATATTTAAATAACAAAATTAAGATCTAAATAAATGAACAAACGAATAAAATATCATTAATAGAAATAAAAAAATGTAAACAAACAAAATGGACACCAAACAGTACATTGCAGCAATGTAATATACTAACTATATTCTCACATTTATAATATGCATTAATTAACTACAAAGTTTTTTGTACATGAAAATAGACAAATACATTTCAAAATTTTCGCATGAGGGTTCCTCGCATAAGGTTAATATATTTGGGGTTCATGGTATTTAAAAAATTAAAACCCCTGCCCTAAAATATACTGATAATCACCATATGTATAATATAATATATTATTAAACGTAATGAACATATGGGTGAACAGTGTATATGTCCTATTATCATTGTAATTAATGTTTTTAAGTATCTTTTCTGTGTTTTACTCCAGCAAGCGGAGGTACCGGAGGACAGTGATGACGAGGGCGACCCAGACGAGGTGTTTGGAGTCATCAGCATGGTGAACCTCACCGAGAGACAGGTGATAATACTCCCATTTCTGAATCTTCTCATGAATATCTGATGAATCCTTTATTTGCGGCTCTGGATCAGTGCTGTTTGTGTCCCGTCTGATCGTCTCGTGTGTGTGTGTGTGTGTGTGTGTGTGTGTGTGTGTGTGTGTGTGTGTGTGTGTTGATCAGGGTGTGGAGTGTCTGGAGAAGCTGAAGGATATGCTTCTAGAGCAGTGTGCCAAAAGCAGCTCCCCGGATGTTCAGGAGCAGTTCGAGCAGCTGCTGCTGGGTAACGGACACTCTGTCGGGCTGCTGCTGAGTGAGAGATTCGTCAACGTCCCGCCACAGATCGCCCTCCCCATGCACAAACAGCTTCAGTAAGTGTTCAGTGTTCTGACCAGCAGAGGGAGTCAGAGGGTGTGCTTCTGAAAATAATACATGTGGGCATGTGCAAATATAGGGTTCCAATTTTCTTAAGACAAGACACTACATGCAAAAACTGTTTTTTTTTATGCGCTGGTCAGTTGTGAGATTTTGGGTTATTTGGCTTTTCATAATGTGTTGTTCAGTATGGAGGGCCAAATCACTCACAATTAAATCATGTTTAAATATATAATTAAATGCATGAATACAGTTAACTAAAACAAATTTTTGTTACTTGAACTGAAATAAAAAATATTGTAATTTTTATTAATTCAAAAGCTTTTTTATAATTTGTTTTTATTAATTTATTTCGGCTAGTTGCCTAGGAAATATTTATTTTTCATTTAGTTTACTTTGATGTACAAGAGTATACAAACATAAAAAACTAAAAAAAAATAAACAACAAATTTGTATTAAAGCTTTAAAATTAAAAGAGAAAATATAAGAATAAAATTAATTTAAAAAATATTAAAAAAAATTATAATAATATCTCAATAATACTAAAAGAATGGTGATTTTATTTATTTGTTTGTTTGTTTATTTGCTGTTGATATCCTCTGTCAATATTTTCTGACTTGTGGAGAGATAAAAAAGAAAAATCTAAAATCCCTTCTGTAAAAACCTTTGTGTAATGTGTCAATAAAATAAAAAAAGAAATTAACCCTGGCTTTATTTATCCAAAATTACCATTTTTATGCTGGAAATGTATGTAAATTAGTCCATTAGTTAGATAAAGCCTCATTTGCCTATTTAAACAACATATAAAAAAAAACTTGTAATGCAAAAAACATGTTTGAAATTTGTTCGGTCTGATAATCGTTCAAATGGAAAAGTATGGTGATATATTGCTTAAATTTTTTTGCTCTATCCACCTAGAGTGTCTTGCCTTAAAAAGGGTCATTGAAAAAAAATTTACTCCGTTACTCTGCTGCTGCTCTCGTGATAATCGTGTTGTGTCAGGCTGAAGCTGTCGTAGTGTTACTGACGATCAGCGCTAATTCCGTCACCTGGATTTATAAGGATCTTATGTAACCGTGTCTCTAATGTGGGTCAGTGCACAACACATGTAGATGAGCCACTTTACATCCCACAATGTGTTGCACCATAAAAAAAACAACCAAACATTTCTCATGTTTCTAAAACACTCACAGAGCTAGTTTGAGAAACACAGTTTAGTGCAGGTGTTGATGGTATTCATGCTGTCTGGTTTCACAGGAAGGAAATGGCCGAAGCACAAAGGACCAATAAACCCAGCGGTAAATGCCAGTTCTGCCTGATGATCAGTAAAACCTGCAAACCAGTCAAGAAGAGCAGATCTGGTCCAGCTCAACCCAAAGAGGAGCTGCTGTTTGTGAACGACGAGGAGGAGTTCTTCTATGAGGTTCATTTAACTTTCACTTCTCATTAGGGCTGGGCCAGAATATTAGATTATTCGAATATTCGTTCGGTGGGTTGGCATTCGATTTTCAATTTTGATATTCGACTATTCTTTTTTTTTCTCGAACACCTGGCATCCCCGCGAAACGGTTCTCATTCGCGCTTGAATATGAATCGCCCATGAGTGAACGTCATGATTCGGTTCATCTGGAAGAGAAGACAAAACCGACCCCCACCGTCGTTTAGATTTTTTTATAGTAATAAAAATCATTTAGT